AGGACACGTTCATTTGAGTTTGAGGATATTGGTAAACAAAAATAATAGCGTTTTTGACGATAGTGGCTTAATTTTGACATCTATTAAGCTAGCACGTTCAGAAGTTCTGAACATTAGCCACGTAACCCATACTCCCATATGCACCGCTCAGAAAGAAAATCTATTGTTGTTAGGCACTATAATGTTTCAAATGTCACATTTTGTGTGACTTAGTTAACTGCATTTGTCTAATTATCATTCCTTGGTCTGAAATATAGTAAATTAGGTCAATCTAACAATTATGATACAACATTGGTTAATGGGCACGGATCGAACGGTTACAAGGCAATATTTAGGTAACTTTGTCACACTCATGATACCATACCTCTATTCTACTGTGAGGTGTCCTAAAAACCCTTTCAACTCATTATTTGATGGTTGCTCTACCAATCCTAGCCCTAAAATATGTTGTTTTGAATATTTAGCTTATACAGGCACTTGGTTATTGGGAAATGAGGTTAATTCTGTCACAATATATGAAATTTAAAATTTTGGGCGAATTATTTATATCTAATTTTGGTTTGAAAGGCGGGAAAATTTTATATGATGACAATGTAGTTGATGCAAGTTAAGATCAGTTGATGTTTACATTGTCACAAAAAATTATACGAAATCGTAAATAGATTAAAAACAATGATTATAGAATGAAATAGTCTCTAATAATAACTCTTATAATAACTGATGTGACAAAGTAAACATGTCTTGCCCCTATTTTGAAGATCTATATTCTATACCTCTATTAGAATATTGTCCAGAACATCAGAGCTTAAGTTTAACAATTTTAGGTTAAATTTGTCAAAGTCACTAAAAATGTGACAAAATTAACTTTTCATGCCCCAAAAATTTCAAGATAGTGTGTAAAAATTAGCATAGGCTGCTATATTACCTATATAAATCAATCCAAACTACAAAAAAATATATGTTAATTTGATGAAGATTACCTAACTCTTATAATAACTGATGTGACAAAGTAAACATGTCTTGCCCCTAGATTTAGATTAATTTGTCAAAGACATTGAAAATGTGACAAAATTAACTTTTTCTGCCCCAACAGTATCAAGATAGTGTGTTAAAATTGGCATAGGATTTATTACAGGTATATTAAAGTATTAATCGATCCAAACTACGAAAAATATCTTTTAATCTGATGACGATTACCTAACTCTTATAATAACTGATGTGACAAAGTAAACATGTCTTGCCCCTATTTTGAAGAACTATACCTCTATTAGAATACCATGTAACCTTATCATCAAAAAAATTTCGATAAACTAGTTATTTTGCCAGCAAGGAGCTAACAGAGTTATAATAATTTTTTGTGACGAAATTACCCTATTTTTGACCATGTAGCGGTAGTTTAATTGTGACACTGTTAACATATTACCACCTGATAATGATTTATGTGACTGGTGCATGGTACTAGCAGTGTTGTTTGATCCATAGTACGTATAATATAAGGGGTTTAAGCTGGTATACCATTATTTGTTCAATTTCACACATGTTCAGATATCATCAAGATTATGTGACAAAATAAGCTTGGTTGTGCCTTCTGTGTTTTAATTCCTTACGACTATATGATATAATAACAATTCCCAGCACTTCCAGGCCATCAAATAAACTTACACTACTCAGCATTGCTTATCAGGGTGCCCTAAACATTCATCACATATTTTCTTTAATGTGTGACAGAGTAAACCTGAATGCACCATATAACGAAAAAAGTCGTCAAATATGTAGGTAATGGTCATATGTACCCATCCAATCAACTGGACACTCAAAAATTTGGTCAAAAACGGCAGCAAGGGGTTCATATTTACTCCGTCACATGTTTATAGTGTGACAATGTAACCATTTCCGTGCCGGCCGTATTTAAGCGATATCTTATCACCTGATTAAGATATCGTTATGTGACAAAGTTAGCCTAGAGGATGAGACGATTATCCTAACCATCAAGGGTTTAAGTAATTCAATAGTGTGACAAAGTCAACTACACTGTGCCTTTTAATAGGGTCACTTATATTTACCAATATCCTCAAACTCAAATGAACGTGTCCATAACGCGAGGAACGGACATTATTATTATCATGAGGGACATTATTTACATGATTAATAATATATTATTGACAATGAGAATCTTGTTATAACGTGATGAACAGACATTATTATTATCATGAGGGACGTTATTTACATGATTAATAATATTTTATTGACGATAAGAATCTTGCTATAACGTGATGAACGGACACTATTATTATCATGAGGGACATTATTTACATGAATAATAATATTTTATCACGTACTGGACTTTTACCCCAATGTCAATATCCAGCTTATTGATTGGGAAGGATGAAAAGGATACGCAGATAGATAACGATTCAAATAAGTATCATTTGGAAAGACGTCTAGTAACATACATTGGAAGATAACGTGGAATCTGAGATATGAGGAGTGTTATGATTGTTACTAACGATGTTACTTATCTTAGCATGGAGCTTTAGCTCACTCTTATTACAAAGGTAAGAGCAAGTCATTTCATTGTCACACTCATGATACCATACCTCTATTCTACTGTGAGGTGTCCTAAAAACCCTTTCAACTCATTATTTTATGGTTGCTCTACCAAACATAGCCCTAAAATATGTTGTTTTGAATAGTTAGCTAATACAGGCACTTGGTTATTGGGAAATGAGGTTAATTCTGTCACAATATATGAAATTTAAAATTTTGGGCGAATAATTTATATCTGATTTTGGTTTGAAAGGCGGGAAAATTTTATATGATGACAATGTAGTTGATGCAAGTTAAGATCAGTTGATGTTTACATTGTCACAAAAAATTATACGAAATCGTAAATAGATTAAAAACAATCATTATAGAATGAAATAGTCTCTTATAATAACTCTTATAATAACTGATGTGACAAAGTAAACATGTCTTGCCCCCATTTTGAAGATCTATATTCTATACCTCTATTAGAATATTGTCCAGAACATCAGAGCTTAAGTTTAACAATTTTAGGTTAAATTTGTCAAAGTCACTAAAAATGTGACAAAATTAACTTTTCATGCCCCAACAATTTCAAGATAGTGTGTAAAAATTAGCATAGGCTGCTTTATTACCTATATAAATCAATCCAAACTACAAAAATTATATGTTAATGTGATGACGATTACCTAACTCTTATAATAACTGATGTGACAAAGTAAACATGTCTTGCCCCTATTTTTTCCTTTTCACCCTTTTGAAAAAAGGCAATAGTGAAAGGTTACGAATGGAGGTTTTTGCAGAAAAACGTGGATTTTGGAGATTGCCGTAGGTGGGTCTGAATATGTCGTCAGTCCTTCCTTACTTCCGTTAGTAACCATGTCAACAAGCCGCGCGCATGCGAGAGGATTGCTTGCGGAGATGTGATGTATAGATAGCCTGTGATCTATGAATGCGCGGCGCAACAGTGTTTTAATGTATACGATGTAATGTATAATATTAGGTTATAAGCCCAATTTGTACGTGGCACGCGTAGTGTATTGATGTGTACACGAGTATAGTTTACCTTTGCTTACAATTTAAGTTATTTGCTTTACAAGTTAAGTTCTTTGGCAATTGAACTAAATTTCAAGTGTTTCCTGTACTTAATGCATAATTTATCAATATTATTATCATGAAGATTGAAGTGAGCTGATTGGAGCTTATACTTAAATTTATAGTAAATGTGAAATGGAAATCTAGCGTCCGCCAAAACGAAACAACGGGCGCAATTCTTGTTAGAATTCAACATTCTTTCAGAAACGATTGGAAGAATATTGTCCAGAACATAAGAACTCAATTTTTAAAATTTAGATTTATTTGTCAAAGACATTGAAAATGTGACAAAATTAACTTTCCCTGCCCCAACAGTATCAAGATAGTGTGTTAAAATTGGCATAGGATTTATTACAGGTATATTAAAGTATTAATCGATCCAAACTACGAAAAATATCTTTTAGAGAGAGATTACCTAACTCTTATAATAACTGATGTGACAAAGTAAACATGTCTTGCCCCTATTTTGAAGAACTATACCTCTATTAGAATACTATGTAACTTTATCATCAACAAAATTTCGATAAACTAGTTATTTTGGCAGCAAGGAGCTAACAGAGTTATAATAATTTGTTTGTGACGAAATTACCCTATTTTTGACCATGTAGCGGTAGTTTAATTGTGACACTGTTAACATATTACCACCTGATAATGATTTATGTGACTGGTGCACAGTGCATGGTACTAGCAGTGTTGTTTGATCCATAGTACGTATAATATAAGGGGTTTAAGCTGGTATATCATTATTTGTTCAATTTCACACATGTTCAGATATTATCAAGATTATGTGACAAAGTAAGCTTGGTTGTGCCTTCTGTGTTTTAATTCCTTACGACTATATGATATAATAACAATTCCCAGCACTTCCAGGCCATCAAATAAACTTACACTACTCAGCATTGCTTATCAGGGTGCCCTAAACATTCATCACATATTTTCTTTAATGTGTGACAGAGTAAACCTGAATGCACCATCTAACGAAAAAAGTCGTCAAATATGTAGGTAATGGTCATATGTACCCATCCAATCAACTGGACACTCAAAAATTTGGTCAAAAACGGCAGCAAGGGGTCCATATTTACTCCGTCACATTTTTATAGTGTGACAATGTAACCATTTCCGTGCCGGCCGTATTTAAGCGATATCTTATCACCTGATTAAGATATCGTTATGTGACAAAGTTAGCCTAGAGGATGAGACGATTATCCTAACCATCAAGGGTTTAAGTAATTTCATAGTGTGACAAAGTCACCTACACTGTGCCTTTTAATAGGGTCACTTATATTTACCAATATCCTCAAACTCAAATGAACGTGTCCTTATGGATAAAATAAACAGTTTTAATCTCTCGAGGCATACGACCCATTTTAAAGAACACATACTTGGGGAGCATTGATTCTAGAAGGTCATCAGTCTTCTTTTTCTCCACTTGTAATTGAGCAGTTCTCTCTTCCACCAACTCCTCTAAATTTGTTGCGTACTTTTCCATTCTTCCCAGTAGATTCTCTACAATTCCTCCAGACCTGAGTTTAGTTAGGTTTTTACTGGCAGGTGTGTTACAAGGACAAGTATATAGTAACTATTCAAGATAGTAAAGAATTAATTGAACGGGAAAATAGTTGAAAACCCCGCTTTGGAAGACTTACGCGTCCACCCTGATGGATCTCAGGATTGATCTGATAGTCTGGAAGTTGGGTCGCTCTAAAGGCTCCTCAGTCCAGGCGTCTCTAGCCATCGAAATAATCCGAGTAACTTTAGAATCACTAGAGAAGGGGAACTCTGGGCGGTAAGGGATCTGACTTGCAGTCTTGGTTACCAGGTTTATAACCTCCGTAGCAGTCAGATCGCATCTCATGTCAGAGAGACCGAACGGTCCTTCTCTCACGAGAATCTCGTGGACAACTATTCCAAAGCTGTACATGTCACCTTCTTTAGTCCCCTTGCAAGGAATGCACTGCATTCTAAGCAGCTCCGGTGCTCTGTAGACGAGACCTGATAAAACATTAGGTTCAATTTGTTATTAAGGAAAAATAAACTTTACATTTCCAATTTTCCACTCATACTTCTTGAACACTCATTCCTGAACAACTTCAGTCAAGATGCTACTCACGTTCATTCCTTGCCTCTTCCGTGGCCCTGTTCAGCCGCTCCATATCACTCATGAAGATAGATCTACTAAAGTCAGATATCTTGAGGGAGAAGTGGTTGTTGATGATGCAGTTTGACGATTTTAGGTATCCGTGACTCTCGATAACAGACGCCTGCAGGAAGCGCATCCCCTGGAAAGGTAAGCCAAGTTATTAAATTGCCAACCTGAAATAAAATCTTTAAAAACAAAGCATACTCGTGAGAGAGGGAATAGAGATTTCTAAATCGTTCTTTGATAAACAATAATCTTTCCTTAGGATACACAAATCTGACTGAATCTCAGTTTTGAATGTTATGTAAGCATAGTGAGATTTAAGCGTGTCTACATTCACTGTTGTGTCAGTCTTGCTGAGTGTACTGTTTAGTGTTAAGAAGCTTTTCCGGTTGTTTATGTTGTCCAGATGGATATTCATTATCCATTATCCGTTAATTATACTGGGAGCCAGGAGCCTGTTTATATCACATAACATGAATTACCTTTGATAGAAAACCAGGTTTCCAAATTCAACTTTTTTGTTCCTGATATATCACAAACACTAAAATATAAACTAAATAGCTTTTTCCAATAGCTCTCAGTAGTGAAGGACCCTCTAAGTTGTCATGGCCGATACTGACACGGCTGTGACAGAAGCAGCTGGAACGACCACAGAAGTGGCAGTGGAAGATACAGCAGACGATGCATCAGCAGAAGAGGATGAGACCGTCAATAGTGCTGCCGGAGAGAGTGAGGACACTTTAGGAGCACAGATTACTCTCATGCTGGAGGAAAATGATGAAGATGACACCAAGTCGGTCAAGTCCGAGACGAAGTCTACGAAAAGCTTCAAATCCCTGAAAGGTTCGATTGCGGGAAGCCTGCGAAGGTTTTCAATGGGCTCCAAAGTTTCAGGACTGAACTGGAGGAGCAGCCAGTTCTCAGTTAACACTCGGACAACTGACGATTACATGGACCCTGTACAGAGACGCTCCAGGAAGACTATTGGAAAGATTGTGGTTAGAGAGGAACACACCGAGTGGATAAAGGATGAGATCTTAACTGATATCCGGGAAACTAAAATTCAGCTGGCCAGTTTAACCTACTTTACTGATGATCATCCAGACTTCCCGGGGCAACCCTTCAGCAATATGATGGACCAGATTTGGATAGAGATGCAGCTGATGGCGGAATATATCGACGGAATTAATGATAGGATTGAGAGATTGGGATATTCTCCATCACCTGAACTTTCTCCAAGCCCAGAGAGACTGCCGACTCCTAACTTTCTACAGAGCTTTTTCTGTTGGCATCGATATATCGCTAGTGAATCCGAGGAGGAGGGGGAGGAGGAGGGGGAGGATGAGAAGGTTGCGCCCGAAATGGTTGAGCCCGAAAGGTTGAATCAGTAATGCAATGAGTAAATTCGAGGAATAAGATGAATCCTTGCCCTTATTACTAAGCTGTTGATATGAAAAGTTTGATACAATTGCATGCCAGACGGAACATTGGCAGAATTCGTCTGTAAAACAGTGAGGGAAGTTCATAATCGCAGTCTCAGCAGTGAAGACTTCTTTATTATCAAGGAACATAGAAGCTTGGACTCATTTGAGCACGACATATGAACAATTATAAAATTAAAATGAAATTAATGCAGATTCGAAAATGTTTATTTTATATGGTTTTTAGAAGAAATGTAATTTCATTTAGTGGATTGTAGTCCTGTTACTAGTACCTAACTATTAATAACTATTACTAAAATATTACCTTTGCTAGATCGTTTATCAAACTGAACTTTAACATATCATCCAACTTGACATCGTCGTTTTCCAATAAATCCTGAAATAATTACTCATTGACAAATATTTATCTCAATTTGAATACTATAAAAATAAAAACCACCTTCAATACCTCGCACATGACAGAGTGTTAAAGGAAGGGTTAACAAATACCAAATCACCTGTAGAGACCCCTTGCTGCAGTACTCAGTAACCAGAAAGCAAATGTCATTATCGATCGTACAGCCGTAAACAGTCAGCAGGTTTTCGTTTCTCATTTCTTTCAACTAGGATCAATAGAGCTTTGAGAAATACAAGTTGTTACATGGCAACAGGAATTGTGCAATAGATATTATCAAGTCATATTCCTTTGAGAGTATTTCCTTCTGTGTAGTATCTATAAAGAATATTTATTGTAGACTAAAAGGTATGCTAGTGATGAGTGGAGTCTTCTACTTCGTCCTTTATTCACATCTCTTAGAGTTAAATAAACTTACGTTTTTCATCTCGATCATTAGAGCCCGATTGATGGTCATGTACTGAGGAAGAACAGTCTTCAGGGCCACAATTTTGTTCTGGTACTGAGCCCGTTTTGAGAAGAACTGGTAACTTTTCTTCTTTAGGTTTGCAGACGGATTACTTGACTGAAAACAAAGCTTTAGAGTACAATTTCTGAGATAAATAAACAGCTGTAATTTTTAACCAAAGGTAGCTACTAACACACATAATTTCTAAAAAGGTACAAGTAGAACACAAAGAATAAAGATTTATGATAAAGATACAAAGATACAGTCAAACGCTCCCCCCGCCCCCTCCCACCCCCTTAAGATACCAGATGTAGTACACACGAGATCAGGAAAATAGAGGAAAGGTGCTTACTACAGTAGAGGAACGAGAACCGACCATGGACGAGCGTCTTGATCCGAAGACAGATGACCCCAGAGGGTCTCGACCAACATCTCGTATCTCAATTGGGGGTATCCTCCATGACATGGAAGCCAGAGCAGCCTCGAACTTTGCTTTCCTGGACGATGATGACTGATAAAAACGCATAATAATTGTATGATCCACATATAAATGAACCTCCAGCTCCCCCATCTTGACTATCGTGAACACTGAACAGTCTACTAATTGTAAAACCAACAGTTATTGTTAAAATCATCTTAAAACAGCCGCACCTGTACATGTAAGTCATAACAGCAAGACCAAGGACCAGGACAGCAAGTGCACCTGCTCCAGCAGATATCCCTATCACCATTCTGTTATCTGGAGGTGATTGACAGAGGGATTAGGGTTAATAATTGTAATTCCGGGACTTTAAACCACATTTTTAACCATGACTCACATCAAACACAGATTAAGATTAGAAGAATATGCTTCACATCGAATTTCTTAGACTTGTTTGAGTAGCTGGTTCACAATGGAAAATTTACAATAAATAAAGTTGATTGGGAATATTATTTACCGCATTTCTCTCCATTGAAACCACATTCAGGCTCAGCCAGCGGTGCAGATTTCCCATTGTTAGGCCATGCTATGTCCTCCTCATCGACCAAGACTTCATATTTCTCGTGTGCGTACTTTCCTATTTTCTGTAGATAAATCAAAATTAGTTATCCTCCGTGTATAATAAATGTTACGATTAGTTATTTTCTCTCGTCATACATTATGTAAGAAGAAAGATAAAATGATAAAACCACTCACCTGCCATTGGCCGGCCTTATTAAGATGCCAAAACAGGAAAGTGTTGACGCGATCTCCCGCCTCATCCAGCTCTATTGGGCCAGTAATGGGTTCGATATCGTTGAAGTCGTCCTCTAGGGTAAACAAATCAGTCACACACAAAATAAAGACAGGTGCCCAACTGCTTGTGTTTCGCCAAAATCAAGTTAATTTAATTGTACCAATAATTCGGACCAACAGTAGTATTCATTGTTTTTTAAGTTTTTAGAACAAATTAATCCAAATCATACTTGTGAATGTTCTGTTGTAAAGTTTACCAACATCCAGCGTTTTGGCTGACTCGTTGTAGTGATTGTTCATGGCGTAGGCCCACAACAAGACAGCGTCGTGGTAGTTGGCTGCGTAGAGCGGTACCTGTGCGGAGTGAATATTTGATGTTTGAACTTGGTAGCACACTGTTTGCGGTTCGTTATTATTATAAACATTAATTCAGTAGGTACAGAGACGAATATTTGTGCGGCGGTCAATTAATTTTCCAGTAACTTACCGCTCTATCCTTGAAATCGTAATTAAACGGCTCCTTCTTCGCTTGCTCTTTAACAGCCGCTGTAAAGTTATCAAAGTTCTTCGTGTCTATGTCTGCTGTCACTATAAACGCTGACTGAGGCATGAGGTATTAATGCAAAAGTTGGTTAAAGAGATATCGTACTCTGCTACAGCAGCTTGAGATCATCAGTCATGACTCATGATCCAGAAATATTGAAGTAAGAATTACGTAATATGTGTGCAGTTTTACCTGGAAGGCTTTCTTAGCATCCTCGTCACGGGAAGCTTGACCCTCGTCCCAGTACAAATTGCTGTATGCTGGATCCGCTTTCCAGGAATAGAGAGGAAAGTAGTTGGTAGGAATAATGATGAACGCGTACTCATTTGACTGGGTCATACCTGATCAGTATTAAGACGATCATGCCCGAGAAGACGAAAGTTTTTAAAAACATACCTTTTCACCCAACCTTGCACGCAACAGAACATGACATTTGTTTTACCTGCATCATAAGCCTGGAGCATCATATCTCGCACCATCTGCTGACTCCCAAAGAGCAGTACAACTGAAAAAGTTTCCGAGTAACTAATATGAATTAATATCTTTCACAGTCACAAATGAAACCTTGAAAAACTATTATTGAAAGTGATCATTATAATTCCTTAGTTCTCAGAGAAATTTTCGTTCCAAAATTTGGAGACATACAAAGTTGTGAAATGGATATTTTTATCCATCTTTCCTGCTAAAATCAAAATTGAATTGTTTTAAGCATTTTAAAACCGATTTCAACGACTCAGATCCTTCATAAAATGGAGAATTTTAAATCCACAAACCCTCCCAATTCCCATGTCAGAATTGAAGAGCTCAAAAATAATCAGCTGATTTTATACATTTTAAAAAAAGATACTAGGGACAACAGTATTCGTGTTGCATGTCATAAATCAAAATAACAGAAAGGACGTAAACCCACAAAGATGAAGCAAGAGTCCAAAGCGTTTCCATTTTAAAATCCAAATAGCTTCCATACTTACTTCGAGACGACATCTTAATAGAGTTAACGGTATCTCCTTTAAAGTATGTATCTGAAAACTCAACAGATTGATTTAACCTGCTATCATATCCATAATCATCGATGGTATTGTTTGATTGTTCAGGGTAAGAAAAGGGCATGTACTGTAGCTCTATCAATTTTGAGTGCCCGACAAGATTCATCCCAGTAAAAAGATTTTTAGCCATGTAATGGGACTGATACACTTCTGTTATTAGGGTCAGTTTATATTCCCATTTGAAATGCTTCAAAAAATTTTCGAGAATGTCATGACCAGCTGAAATTAGCCGGATGGCGTTAGTCCATCCCTTCGTCAGCTTCTGTTGCCCTTGGGGAATGGTACTGTCATCAAGGGGCAAGGTGGTGTACACGTACATGATCTGGTTGAGAAAGGAGTAAAGAACAGTCGTTTTAGTTGCTAGATCTTTGTGTGACCCGATGATGAGCCTGGGGAAGCGATTGCTGTCTTGAAGTCTTTCTAAACATCGGCTAGATTTCCATTCATCTCCACATTCGATGTTTTTACATAAATTCAACCTGCCTCCCGCTTTCTTTCTGTCCCATTCTGTCATATTTATATCCGCTGATGTAAGGAGTTTCAAATTCTCCCCGTATTTGTTGTCTTGGAATTTTTCATAGACTTTTTCAAGGGCCACATAACTTGCGGGGCCGCATTCTGCACCCAGGAATGAAGGATTTTCATTGAAAAGGTATTTTGTGTCGATCCAATCCGGTTTGTATAAGTCCAGAAAGCCATATTCTTCTGTTGATGCAGTAACGACTATGATGATCCAAACAAGATGTAAAAATGTTGCAAAGATAAACATAGTCCCAACCTGGTGATGAATGGGTGGTCATTTCTATTCAACGAATGAAAACATTTAATTGTGGGAGAAACATGTTTAATAATTACTTTGTATCCCAGATTAAAAAGATACTAATTTCACATACGAAGCGAGTAAATGAAGTCAAACTGCAATATCTTACGAAGTGATATATTAATTTCACACTTTACGTCTCCCTCCCTTCCCACATAATTGTGACAAAAACAACCATGCACACAGATCGATAACGAAAAAGGATGGGTGTGATACGAAAGAAATATTATAGAAATCAAAACAATAAAAGTCAGTAGCAAGCCTGTTCTCCAGAATGAAATGTTGGTGCGGTGCCCTGCCACCTGACATCTCAGTGGTCCTATCTTTCTAATCAGATTAACCGCTCTCTGAGAGTGAGATTTACCAATTTACAAGGCTCGTGTAGAAGGGATATGAATTTAGTGTGCTCATTGTAACCATTAAAAACAGTAAGTATCGGAGAACTATCTTATCACTTCAGTCCAAGAGGCGCGCGAGATGTTTGGTACTTTCAGCTGTTTTGATTCTGGTTGGATTTAGGCTACTCTAAAGGATGGGAATCGGATAACTAAGTTAAGGTTGAAATCATGTGATTAATACGAATCTTCCTAAATAAAAGAGTGACTTAAGAGAATACGAAATGAAGAACTAGGGTGATCGTACTTTTCCACTTTCGTGATTGGAAAGTTTGTTTCACACAGAAAGCTGGCAGAGAGGTACATATTAACCCTTAAGTTTCTTGGTCAGGTAGCGCAGTTGGTTAAAACGCCATCTTTGCAAATCGTGAGGTTGCGAGTTTGAATCCCATTGTCTGCCTGGTCGTGGGGTGAGCGTCGTTGACGTTCAGCTAAGGATCCTGAGTGGTCTATGCAGCCCCCGGTCTACTCAGCCGAATACTCGAGAAATCGGGTGTGAGGTTTAAATGAGGAGCTGCACATTGTAGCAAAGTCTCGGGCGAAGAAAGTATGGTACACACTACCTTAATCGTCACTGGCCAAATAAATCCTTCGGCTTCCTGTAATTGGCTGGTTGCACTTGTGTAACAATGTGGCTGTTGGAATACACCGAAGTAAAATAAGTGCCTTGATTTTTTTTTAATTTTTAAATGCACTATTGATACTACTCAAATTGAAAGAACTTGCTTTAGGAGCTAAACATGGCCAAACCAGCAAATGCAATGTGCCAAGATGCAAATGTTGTGAACTTGTCAAAGGCACCCATGAATTCAAAGTGAACGGCAAGAAGGTTAAAGCTTCCCCTGGAAACTACCAGAGTTACAACATCATCTGTTCCAATGTAGTGTCTGTGGAAAGGCTTACGTCGGTCGCACAACTCGCTCTCTACGGGTTAGGATTGAAATGGTGATAAGGTAGATGAAACAAGTGATGAATATAGTTTGGGTTTACATTTGTTGGATCATGGTTTTAGACAAAGGGAAGATTTTAACAAAATTTTTAATGTGTCAATTATTGATAATTCTAGTCCTAAAACTTTGGAAGTCCGTGAACATAAACAATTCAACTACTCAAGACTTTAAAACCTTTGGGAATTAACACTATAAATCCTTCTGGCATTCCCTTACTCCTAACATCTTAATTTTAACTTTATAACCGTTTTAAGAGTGTTCAGATTTTTAAAAGAATTTTGGGTTTTACCAACTTTTTACAATTTCTAGGCCTTATGTCACTGAAGATGACGCCTTGTAACATGTTTGACGATAGCCTGTAGATTGATAGTTTGATCTCAGTATTTACAACAATTCATCTAGTTTGATTGATTCAAAGGGAAACAAATTCCTCTATTGATACTAGTATGAAGGTAATGTCTGTTGAGAAGACATTTTTCTAAAAATGGTGCAATCAACAATCAACATGGCCACTTCATTTAAAGGTCTATATCTTTAAAAAGTAGGCCGTAGCTGATGGGAAAATTCTAAGACATTTTTCTGCTGGGGTCGACTGGGATAAGATATATATTTCATCGCCAACGTAATTTCTAGTCGGAGTAGGTGTTGATTAGAAGGAAAAGAGGCAATGGTATGAATTTACAAAACATGTTGAAACTTAAGAATACACGATTTCTGGGATAAATCACAGCAGGTCATACCGAAATTTATCAATCTGAAGCGCGATACGCTTGTTGCTGATCATTAATTGGACATCAGGGCTGATGGAAAATGCCACACAAGACTTGAAAACTTCTTGAAGCGAGAAATAATACCATTTAGGGCACCGGCCACATACCTGATACTCGACATAAGATAGATAACTTAACAAAATTCACTAAACAAAGAAATACCACAATGATTTAATGGAACGCTGCATCAACCATTAAACTCCAGACAAACTGACGTACTAGTAGCATAATTGAAGATAACCAATCAAAATAGTTTATCTGTCTGTCGGTCTTTTGTATTAGACAACAAAAATGTTGAATTTTATTAGAAAAATGTTGAAATTGCATGCGAAGTTATTGGTACTGACACGACCAGGTGAGGATTGAATACACAACATGTATAACTATAATACCAGAGCGAGTACTCTCCTATCCCCCGCCCGGTAAAACGTTTAACGTTTACGATTTTACCAATTTCACGAAGCATGCCCGGTTGTAACACACAATATTTGTAATTCTACAAACAGAGAAAGCGGCACTAAAAAAGTCATTACACTTACAGGTTTAAAGTATCGGTGGTGACTGGGTATACTTCTAGGGACTAATAACGGGCCCTTGGTTAGAGGGAACTATTACACCGCCTGAACCACCTGCAACCATGTGTTGCAGTCTCTGGACAAAGAGCTGCCAGCAGTTACTCTTGCATGAGTTCTGAGAAAGTATATAGGATGCGCTGATGATAACGATATGCACGATGGTACCTGACTATTTCAATTTAGCTGGACGGAATGGCAATAAATAAGAGCTTAATGTAGCCGTATAATGCGAGGTTATGTGTTATTATGCGACTCAGCCGCCTAATTCTCACGTTTAATTGCCTACATTATTGGGTGTTTAGCTCTCAAGAACTGCTCAGTGAGAGTTAGCAGACCTAATTTTCATCAGACACTCGGTAGGTAACTCACAGCTGTAACACAAAGTTTATAACAACTATCGTCTTCGGCGGATAAGTTTGATTATGTAAGTCAGGACTGTTGTCAAAAATGGCTTAAGTGCTGTAAGTGTAACTACTGACTTTGTTGCAGGGGTATATTAAGTATGGGGAACAAAAAGATATACGCAAACTACAAATTATATTGGTTTCGTGACAGCCGCTTGTAGATTGAAACGTGCTTTTAATTTCATTCTTTGATTGCATTTCAATAGTGAGAAGTACTGGGCGACCTGCGACATATTGGTATGGAGCCTGCAAGGAACCCACCAGTACAACTTTTATTGTTAACAAAAGTTACAGTCACAGATTACATAACGTGAATCGTGAAATAATTTTATCAATACACTATTCACTAACGGGCAATTCTATAACTTCGGTCGAGCAATTGATTACGTAGTCTTCAATCCATAAACTCAAAGAAAGATAGAGGCCCCAAATGATCCGAAATGTAACACATAGCTGCACGGAAAACAGAACAGTCGATCAAAGAGCTCGGTCCACTTGAGGGGAGCACTGGGGACCACAGTTGTTCCCTCATATTGGTACCGCAA